GATGGATGGATGGATGATGGATGGATGGATGATGGATGGATGGATGGATGGAGAACTGCTGGAGACCAGTGGCTGTGGAGGGAATATTTTGGGCACAGTTTGTGCTCCAGGAGAGGATCCCAATCCCACTTTTTGCCCTCCCATGCAGGCAGGGAAGAAACTGTTTTGCAGGCAGAAAATTGTGAGGATTTGCTATGATTTAGGAGGAAAATCCCTCCCAGTTTCCTCTCCTGGCATCATCTGAACCTCACCTGGCCCAAACTGGGACAGGTCCACATGGGGCAGCTCCTGGATTCCGGATTCATCCATTCCCTTTCTTTCCTAACAAAGGGACTTCCTCTAATCCCATTTGAAGCATCTCCAGGATTTCTGGGATTTCTAAAGGCCTCCCAGGCTCTTCCCAAGGAAAACTCTGACTCCTTCTTACAGGCTTAGACTAAACCCAAAAGGGGACTTTTCCCCACTGCTTTGGGAATTTTTCCCTGATTTTTTCTTGGATTTATTAAAAACTGCCTCCTGACTCATCCCAGCACAAAGGAAGATTTTCTTTTTATCCAAACAAAAACAGAAGAAATTTGCTTGGATGAAAAATCTGCTCAACATCCCAAAAATTACAGCAGGGCTCTCCTCCAGCAGAATTCGATTTTCCCAGAAACCGGATCGCTCCAGACTTTTAATTTGGGATTTAATTACGAGGTGTGCCCTTTATCGCGCTGAGAATTCTATTTCTCCCTGGGAGCAGTGCCCGGCTCCTCTCTCCTGGGATCTCAGCTCAGGAATGGGATGACACTTCCATAGTCCATGGGCACTCCCTGCCACACGTGGGGAAGAGAATTCCAGGTGTTGTGTTCCAGGGGGTTCTCCATGCTGAGACCTCTGCTGTCCTTCCCACTGATCCCTTGGGGATTCCAGGGATAACCTGGGCCCCTCCTGACAATGGAGACCCTGAGGGGCTGGAGCTTGGCCAAGGAAGGGAACAGAGCTGGGAAGGGGCTGGAGAATTCCTGAGGGAGCTGGGAAGGGTTGGAGAATTCCTGAGGGAGCTGGGAAGGGGCTGGAGAATTGCTGAGGGAGCTGGGAAGGGGCTGGAGAATTGCTGAGGGAGCTGGGAAGGGGCTGGGGAATTCCTCAGGGAGCTGGGAAGGGGGTCAGGCTGGAGCAAAGGAGGATCCCGAGGGATCTTTTCCCTCTCTGGAATTCCCTGGCAGGAGGGGACAGCCGGGGGGGTCGGGCTCTGCTGGCAGGGAACAGGGACAGGAGGAGAGGGAACGGCCTCAGGCTGGGCCAGGGCAGCTCAGGGGGGATCTGGGGACAATTCCTTCAGGAAAGGGTGGAGTCCCCATTCCTGGAAGGATTTCAATCCCTGTGGATGTGGCACTGGGGACAGGACAGTGCTGGGAACCGTTGCACTCCATGATCTCAGAGAACTTTCCCAAGCCACCCCGTTTCCAGCTCCTGTTTACCGGGAAGCCGATCCCGTACCGGGGGAGATGATGTAGAAGAAATCCTTGAACTCGTCCATCCACACCTCGGCCAGGCGCCGGTTGTTCTTGTTGATGACGTGGCCGGTGCCCCCCGGGAAGGAGTAGGGGGTGGCCTTGCGGAACACGTGGCCCACGTGGGAGCAGGTGACGATCTCCAGGGAGCCGCCGCACTGCCACACCTGCAGCGGGAACGGGAACCAGCGGGAAGCGTTATCCTCAGCATCCCAATTAGCTAGAGCAGTTATTAGGATAACCCCAAAGAATTCCATGGAATAATCCCAAAGAATTCCATGGAATAACCCCAAAGAATTCCATGGAATAACCCCAAACACTTCCATGGAATAGCCTCAGATAACTCCATGGAATAACCCCAAGTGCCTCTATGGAACAGCCCAAAAAAGCTCCACAAAATAGCCCCAAATAATTCCATGGAATAGCCCCAAAGAATTCCATGGAATAACTCCAAACAATTCTATGGAATAGCCCCAAATAACTCCATGGAATAACCCCAAACAGTTCCATGGAATAACCCCAAACACTTCCATGGAATAGCCCCAAATAACTCCATGGAATAACCCCAAAGAATTCCATGGAATAATCCCAATTTTAGTTCAGTTTTTTTTTAATTTCAATTATCTATCTCAATTATTTCAATTATTTGAGTTTGGGGACTTTTTTATTTCTATTATTTGTCTCAAATATTTGTCTCAATTATCTTAATTATTTTAATTATTTTAGTTCAGTTTATCTCAAATATCTATCTCAATTATTTTAATTCAGTTTTTTTTTATTTCAATTATCTATCTCAAATATTTGTCTCAAGTATTTATCTCAAATATTAATCTCAAATATTTATGTCAAATATTTGTCTCAACTATTTGCCTCAATTATCTTAATTATTTTAATTAGTTCCATTTTTTCAAATATCTATTTCAATTATTTTAATTCTTTTAGTTCAGTTCTTTTAATTATTTATCCCAATTATTTATTTCAGTTATTTATTACAATTATTTATTTCAATTATTTCAGTTCAGTTTCTTTTATTTCAATTATTTCAGTTCTTTATTTCAATTATTTATTTATTTAATTAATTCAATTATTTCAGTTATTTATATCAATTATTTATTTCAATTCTTTATTTCAATTCTCTCAGTTCCCTTTTTTTTGTTTCATTACCTCAAATATTGATTTCAATTATTTCTTTCAATCTTTAAATTTCAATTATTCCTTTCAGATTTAATTTAATTATTAGTATATATTATAATTATTATTATTTATTTTCAATTTAATAATTTAAATTTTTTATTTCAATTCCTTGATTCCAATTCTTTTCCTTCCAGGCCCTTCCTGGTGTTAAATCCCTGAGTTTTTGGGGAATTTTTCACGGGAGCTCCAGCGGAATCCTGGAATTAGAGCGCCTGCGTTCCCATGGCAACCGTGGCAGATCGCGTTAATCAGGGCTCCCTCTGCTCCCAGAATTCCATGGGAATGAGGAGGGATGGCTCCTGTGGGATCCACAGCCAACTGCTCAGGGGAACTTCGGGATGAGGGGTGCCGAGGAATTCCAGAGGGAAAAAATCCCAGATACGCACCAGGGATGGGCTCATGGAGCAACCTGGGAGCATGGAATAACCCCAAAGAATTCCATGGAATAATCCCAAAGAATTCCATGGAATAACCCCAAAGAATTCCATGGAATAACCCCGAAGAATTCCATGGAATAACCCTGAAGAATTCCATGGAATAATCCCAAACACTTCCATGGAATAACCCCAAATATACATCAGGGATGTATTCCCAGAGCAACCGGGGTGTGTGGAATAAATCCCAAATATACACCAGGGAAGAAATCCCAAAATATTCCCCATGGATGTGCTCATGGAGCAATCTGGGAATAACTGGACACACAATTGGAGAGGCCTCCATCCCAAATCCCAGCATTCCCAGGCTGTTTTCCCATTCCAGCTGGCAGGAAATTCCTCCCACGGCACCATTTTTACAAAGCTCTGTTCCCGGACACTTTTCCAGCGGATTTTTGGCTCTCCCTGGAGCAATCCGCTCCCTGTGCCGGCTGGGATCGCATCTGGGGGAACCTGCACCCTCTCCTTAGGGAAAAGGAATTTTCCAATGTTTCCTAAAAATCCCAAACAAATCAGCCTTCTGGGATACTCCCTGGGAATGTGGCTGCTGCCCAAAAATTCCCATCCTGGCTAAGAATTGTGGGATTTCAGGGATCTGTTCCCCACACAGACTATGGAATGCATTCATCCCTCGCTGTTTGGACTCCAGGGAGTCAGGGAATTATGGAATGGTTTGGGTTGGAAAGGGAATTAAATCCCGTCCCAATCCATCCAGGGACACCTCCCACCATCCCAGGCTGCTCCAAATCCCAAATCCAGCCTGGCCTGGGACACTCCCAGGGATCCAGGGGCAGCCACAGCTGCTCTGGGAATTCCAGCCCAGCCAGGAATTCCCAATTCCCAATATCCCACCCATCCCTGCCCTCTGGCACTGGGAGCCATTCCCTGGCTCCTGTCCCTCCATCCCTTGTCCCCAGTCCCTCTCCAGCTCTCCTGGAGCCCCTTCAGGCCCTGCAAGGGGCTCTGAGCTCTCCCTGGATCCTTCCCTTCTCCAGGGGAACATTCCCAGCTCTCCCTGGATCCTTCCCTTCTCCAGGGGAACATTCCCAGCTCTCCCAGCCTGGCTCCAGAGCTGGATTCCGATTGGATCCTAAAGGAATTAACCCTTCCTGCTCCTTATCTATTTCCTGTCACAATTCCCACAACAACCAAAGCAGGAATTCCAGAGATCAGAGCACCTCTGGCATCGTCACATCCCTGGGGAAATCCCCTTTTCCCTGTTCTTCCTGCACTCCCAGCAGTGCCAGAAATCCCAAATAAACCCCACCCTACCCCGCTCAGAGCTCACATTCCCTGTCCCATCCTGCCTGGATTATCCAAAGGAATCATCCCAAAGGAATTTTTTTTTTCCTGATGGACAGATTCATTTTAATTCCCTTTCCAAATCCATAGGAATTCCTTTCAGAGCATCAAGTTTTTTCAGGGAATTCTCCAAGCGGGATAAAACCACGTGGAGAATTTAACAGGAAGCGAAAAATTCCAGTAATTCCATCAATAAAAATAAAGTTTAGGAATAAATCAATTTTTCCTTGACTAAAACAAACCCTTGGAAATGTAAGAGATTCCTGCCAGGAATTGTCATTATTTTTCCCTAATTAAAAGACATTCCTAAAAGGAATCATTAAAGACTCATCAGCAACGAGAAGGAGCTGAAAGGAAAAACAGGGATTTTCCCAAAATAATCAAATTCTACCCCATGGATGCTCCTCCTGGAAATGCCTCTGAGAGCAAAACCAGCTGGAAATCCTTGGAATTACTCTTTGGGATAATGATGGAGCTGGATGCAGATGAGACAGGCATGATCCAGGGAAAGAAAGGATAACATTTTTGGGGATTCAGGAACCCTCAAAATATGGGGGGAAGGACGGGTTCGGGTTTTTTTGGGATTTCTTTTTTGGGATTTCTTTTTTGGGATTTCTTTTTTGGGATTTCTTTTTTGGGATTTTTTTGGGGGGGGATTTCTTTTTATTATTCTGAAGCAATCCCAAATCTCTTCCCTCCCTCTGGTGATAAATCCTGGATGTAAGAGCAGCTCCCTGTGCTCCGATCCGTCACCTCCCACACCAGGGTTTGCTCCCAGCGCTTTCCTGACCGGAGATATTCCCAAATCCCGCTGGACAGGGGCAGCTTTGGAGCTTCCCGATCCCTCAGCTCTCCTGGCTCCCAGTTTCCCAGGGATTCGTTCCCTCAGCTGGGATCTGAACCTTTTGATGTCCCAGAGAAAGTCACACCAAATATCCCTGGATTTCCAGCTGCTTTTCCTTCCAGAGGCTCCCGATCCCAATAAGCAGCACCAGGGGATTCCCACGGCAATATCCCGATTTATTCCTATCCCTGGCCCCTTCAATTCCCCGGGTTAGGGTGGGAAAGGCCCATTTGGAATGCTTTGACAATTCCCTGCTCCAGGGATCTCCTGTAAAACACGGAAAACCGAGGAAAAGAATTCCTGCCCAGGGGCCTTGGCACATCCAAGGAGGAATTTTGGGGGTTAAAACAGCAAAAAATGTGGGAATCTCCTGGTTTGAAGGATCCAGGCTCAGGAGGGGATCCAAAGCCTTTGGTTTTCCTGCAAAGGGAACAATCCAAATTCAGAGGAATGGCCTGGGAAAGCTTTTAGATTCCCAGCTGATCTTCCCTGGAAAAATCTGTTCCCTAAAAAACTTCAGAGGGGTTCCTGGCAGGGAAGATGGTTCCAGTTGAATGGAAAAGACTGGAAAAAGGGGGCCAGGCCATTCCTAGGATGTGCTGCGGGTTCCAGAGGGATCCTGGGCGTTATTCCCGGCACTAAATCCGGAAATTGTGACGCATCAGAGGAGCCCAAAGCCATTCCCAAAATCCCTTCCAACCCTTCCTTCTCCAAGCCTCAATTTCCCGCTTTTCCTCTCCAGCCGAAGGATGCCGGCTGCGTTTCCCTCTGAGGCATGGCTGGCAGTTATCCCAGCGGGAATAGCAGCGTTTTCCGCGGGATACGGAACTGCCCCGGCACAGAGCCGGAATTCCAGCCGGAACGTGCAAGTCCATGGTGTCACCATTCCCAAAAAACCTCCCGGAACGTCGTTTTTAACTTGGATTTTTAATGGAGATCAAGTTCCCTCTGGGCACCTCGTTTTTTTCCCGTGAAGGAACGGTTAAAGCAGATGGAATTTCGGAGGGATAAAAACCCCTCAATATTAAAATATTAAAATATTAAAATATTGGAATATCGAAATATCGAAATATTGAAATATTGAAATATTGAAATATTGAAATATTGAAATATTGAAATATTGAAATATTGAAATACTAAAATATTGACATATTGACATATTGAAATATTGAAATATTAAAATATTGAAATATTGACATATTGACATATTGACATATTGAAATATTGACACATTGAAATATTGAAATCTTAAAATCTTAAAATATTGAAATCTTAAAATATTAGAATATTAAATATTAAAACATCAAAATATTAAAATATTCCACGCAGCAAAAAAAAGTTCCCCAAAACACCCCAAAGAGGCTTTCCCCAAATTTTAAAAATTCCATTTAACCCATGACTTGCAGGCCAGCTAAAGCAGGAGCTCCCTGAAGGAACGACAGCACAAGTGGGGGGATTTATTTTCCAGGTTATTTTTGGGAAAAGAAAAGGAAGGAAAACAGGAATTACCCTAAAGGACATTTCAAGATTCTCGCCACCCCAGATATCCATTCCCGAATCGTAAGTTCCTATCTCTTCAAAGTAGTTCCTGTCAATAGAAAACAGGCCACCAGCCATAGTTGGGGTCCTGGGTGGAAAACAAACAGGGAAAAAAACAAAGGAAAAGAGGGAAAAACAAAACAAAAACAAAAAAAAGGGAGAAGAGAAAGAAAAAAGAAAAAAAAAAATAAAAGACTTTTAAAGGACGCTCTGGAATTTCACATTTCACTGCCTCCCGCATCGCACCACACAGGAATTCCTATGGGAAACACCTAGGAAAGGGGAATTGGAACTGGGGTTTCCCTGCTCTTCCCAAAAATCCATGGATATCAGGCCCAGCCACGCTCCAAGAAAAAATAACGACAATTTTGATTGGATTTTTCCTGCATTTCCCCAAAATCCATAAATTTCGGGCCCAGCCACAATCCAGGGAGGAATAAACATAATTTTAACTGGATTTTTCCTGCTCTTCCCCAAAATCCATAAATTTCAGGCCCAGTCACACTCCAAGGAAAAATAAAGACAATTTTGATTGGATATTTCCTGTTCTTCCCCAAAATCCATGGACTTCAGGCCCAGCCACGCTCCAAGGAAAAATAACAACAATTTTGTTTGGATTTTTCCTGTTCTTCCCAAAAATCCATGGATATCAGGCCCAGCCTCACTCCAGGGAGAAATAAGGACAATTTTGATTGGATTTTTTGTGCTCTTCCCAAAAATCCATGGATATCAGGCCCAGCCACACTCCACAGAAAAATAAAGACAATTCTGACTGGATTTTTCCTGCTCTTCCCCAAAATCCACGGATCTCAGGCCCAGCCTCACTCCAGGGCTGCTCCCATTCCCATGGACTATTTCAGGAGAACTGTGATGGGGGGGATTTGGGGTGTCCTGAGGGAGCAGCAGCTCAAATCCAGCTGGGAATGCTTGGGAGGAGTTCCATGGCTTGGCTTTGCCCCAGAGGGAGCCCAAAAGGGTGGAAGGAGCAGGAAAATCGCTGCTGAAGGGAGGAGAAATCTCCCAGGGCTTGGCCCCATTTCCCTGGAAATGGCTGCTCCCGGTTTTCCAGAAATCCCAGCCTACGTGACACAGGAACGCCCAGCCCAGGGATTTCTTTGGGAAGGAACAGATCAATCCCAAATCCCAGCTTTCCTTGGAGATGTCCCAGCACAGCCAAAGGGGCGGGAGCTCAGCTCATCCCTGGAGCCCCAAACCTGCGGAATTTGGTGGAGCAACCCCAAGGAGGAGGATCTGGAGCTGCTCCAGGGCTGGAGCTGGGAGATCTGGGAATGTTCCCCTGGAGAAGGGAAGGATCCAGGGAGAGCTGGGAATGTTCCCCTGGAGAAGGGAAGGATCCAGGGAGAGCTGGGAATGTTCCCCTGGAGAAGGGAAGGATCCAGGGAGAGCTCAGAGCCCCTTGCAGGGCCTGAAGGGGCTCCAGGAGAGCTGGAGAGGGACTGGGGACAAGGGATGGAGGGACAGGACCCAGGGAATGGCTCCCAGTGCCAGAGGGCAGGGATGGATGGGATATTGGGAATTGGGAATTCCTGGCTGGGCTGGAATTCCCAGAGCAGCTGTGGCTGCCTCTGGATCCCTGGAAGTGCTGGAGCAGCCTGGGATGGTGGGAGCTGTCCCTGGTGGACTGGGATGGGATTTAAGGTCCCTCCCAATCCAAACCTTCTCCTTCCCCCTTCTCCCTTCCCCTGGATGGAGACCCTCTCTGCCTGACACAAAATTCCCCATTTTTTCCCAAGACTGAGCCTTTAGGGAATTTGGAAGGATGAAACTGAGCTTCCACAGGATCCTGGTGTCCTTTGACTCCGGACACCAAACGCTTCCCAAAGCCCTCCCTGACCAAGCTGGCAGTGCCCAGTTTCACGCTGGAAAATTCCCTGATCCTGCTCCAATCCCCAGGCAGCTCCTGGGATAACGGGAATGTTCCCTGGGATGTGAATTCCATGGGACACAGCCAGAGCTGCAGAGCTCTCCCTGGAAACCAAAGCACCGGGAAGATAAAGGGGCTTAAAGTGGTTTTTAAAGTGGAAAAATGAGTTTTTTCCTCAGCTCTGCGTCTGTTCCCTGCGGGATCAGCTGACAGCTCCTGGGAATTGCAGCGATTGACTCCCATCATCGCCTGATCCTGCTTTATTTGGGAAGCACCATCTGCTTCCCATTCCCACACAGAAAACATGGGAGCAATCCCAGCTTCTCTGCATCCCGGGAAAGCCATCCCCGGATTCCGTGATGGGAGAGGAGGAGGGATGGGGAAGGGATCCCAGCCCTGGAGCTCCCATCACCTCATCCTGCTTTTCCCAAGGAATCCCATCCCAGGAATCCAAAGGGCTCCACCAGCACCAAATCCTACCAAAGCAGAGCACTGTGGATATATCTGGGAATTAGGGATCAGCACCGGGATCAATCCCTGCCGTTCGTCAGAGCCAATTAACTGCAATCAACTCCAAGTTTAATTATTAATAATTAAGATATTAATATAATATCAAGATAATAAGTATCATATCCATAATATCCAGAATTCATTTGGAAAATGTTCCCAGGCACGGGGGGGATTTTTGGGATCTCTTGTAGGGCCAGGGCTTGGATTGATGATCCTTGTGGGTCCCTTCCAGCTCAGGGAATTCCATGATCCTAACACATTCCTGATATTTCATCTTGTAGTTTCCATATTTTTTGACCTGTTGTTTTCTTTTTTTTCCCTAGGATTTGATCCTGCATTTTCCCTCTCAATCCCTAATTTATACAAAACACTTCCTGGACCTCAATCCGTATTTTTAGTATTTCTAATGCCAGCCTGGAGTGCCTTGAGCTTCAAAAACAGAGGGAAAAGCATGGAAATATCCATGAAAATGGGCTGTGCCGAGCCTGGCAATGGGAAATTCCCAGCTCAGCCTGAATAATTCCACGATTCTGGAATTCTCCGACACCAAAGGCTGAAATTCCTGTGCTAAAACCTGGATTTAACCCAGCCTAAAGCACCAAGCCTTCCCTCTCAGCTGGTGGTGACAACCAGTGACATCTGCCCCTCTGCCCCCTTTGATTCCCAACTCCCACTTTATCCAGAGAATTCCCCCAAAATCCCAGCGGAAAACTGATGGGAAAGGAAAAGGAATTAAACAAATCCCGTTATTTTTGTTTTCTCAGTTTTAAGAGCCGATTCCATGTCTGAGCCGGGATAAATTTTGAGCCCTGCTCCATCTCAAGGTAAGGGAAGAGGGATTGGGATTGAATTCCTTAGGAAATTCCCTGTGCCTGCAATGGATTCGGGAGGGCTGGAGCTCAGCCCTTAATTAATTAAAAAATTAATTTTCCCAATTTCCATGCACACCTGAGCTTTAATCAAGAGCTGCTGGCCCAGGGAGGAGGTTTTGGATCAGGAGGAAAAAATTCCCTTGGCTCCAAAACTCCCTCCCGTGACAGCCAGAGCCCGCTGGATTTTCCTGGGAATAAATCCCAGACCCTGATTCCAGCCTTTCCAGGACTATCAGGGACAGAAATGGGAATTTGGGAAGCAAATTCAGAAGGTTTTTCCTGCCCTTCCTCGCCTGGACTGATCCCTGAGCTGCCCCTCCCTCCACCTGCAGGACTGGAATTCTTCCCACTTCCCACATTCCAATCCATTCCATCCACTCGGGAAACCTTTCCTGGTCTCTTTTGGGATTTTGCAGGAAGCCCCGGCAGCTGTTGGAGCTGAGCAAACATCCCATGGCCAGGAATTTATTCCATTTGTTCCCTTTTCAGCTCCATCTCCAATTCTGGAAGAGGTTTTGTTCCACCCTGTGATTCCAGCAATACAATGGAAGAGGTCAGGACACGCTCCTGGACCATTTTTCCCATCAATCCCATTTTCCAAGCAATAAACCAGGAATTTAAGTGCAAATCACTGGGCTTCCATGCTCAAAAATGCTCAGAAATCCTTTGGAGCCTCTGCCTTAAATTCCCAAACAAAAATAAAAATGGGAATTAAAATGCTTTCACAGCAAATTCACAGAGGGAGCTGAACAGGCAGAAATCTTTGGAATTCCTGAGCTTTGGGATGAGGATGGGATGGGGTTCAGTGCAAATCACTGGGATTCAAAGCTCAAAAATGCTCAGAAATCCTTTGGAATATTTGCCTTAAATCCCGAAAAACTGGGAATAAAAATCTGTTCACAGCAAATTCACAGAGGGAGCTGAACAGGGAGAAATCTTTGGAATTCCTGGATGTTGGGAAGAGGATGGGATGGAGTTTGCCCAACCGTGGCCTCCTGTCCCCTCTCCCGCCCCGCTCCGGCTCCATTTCCCCACTTTTGGGTTGTTTCTCCCATTTTTTGGTCCCTTTTTCCCAGTTTTTTGTTTCTTTCCCCCCTTTTTTTCCCCTTCCTTTCATTTCTCCCCATTTTATGACATTTCTCCCCATTTTGTGACATTTCTCCCCATTTTGTGACATTTCTCCCCATTTTGTGACATTTCTCCCCATTTTGTGACATTTCTCCCCATTTTATGACATTTCTACCCATTTTATGACATTTCTACCCATTTTGTGACATTTCTACCCATTTAGTCACATTTCTCCACATTTTGTGACATTTCTCCACATTTTGTGACATTTCTCCACATTTTATCACATTTCTCCCCATTTTATCACATTTCTCCCCATTTTGTGACATTTCTCCCCATTTTGTGACATTTCTCCCCATTTTATGACATTTCTCCCCATTTTGTGACATTTCTCCCCATTTTATCACATTTCTCCCCATTTTATCACATTTCTCCCCATTTTATCACATTTCTCCCCATTTTGTGACATTTCTCCCCATTTTATCACATTTCTCCCCATTTTCCGCTCTTTGCTGCAGCAGCGCGGAGACGCCGGGATTGGGGTTCAGCCCCGCGATTCCGCCTCCGATCCCGCAGCGGGATTTTGGGAATGGGGAGGGATTTTCGGGAGCAGGGGAGCACTGACCTGACGGGCAGGGTGCGGTCCCCTTTCCGGCGATCCATCTCCCTCTGGGGCACGGGATACCAGCGGAAATTCAGCTTCCAGTTGAAGCCCCCGTAGGTCATGTCCGAGCCCGCCATGTACTCGAAGGTGTCGTCGCTGATCACGTCGATGATGGGACACACCACGGTTTTCCTGCGGGAAAAACCAAAAACACCGGGAATTTGGGGGTTGTGGTGGTGTTTGGGCACGGGGGGGAGGTGGAGGGGGAAAAGGGGGAAAAGGAGGTGGGAATAAAACGAGGGAGGAGGGGAAAAGAGGGAAGGGGGGAAATGGGAGGAAAAAGAGAAGGGAAAAGGTGGGAATGGGAGGGAAAGATGGGAAAGGGGAAAAGGAAGGAAAAGAGGGAGGGATAAGGAGGGGAAATGGGGAGAAAAAGGGGGAATAAAATGAGGGAGAAGAAAGAGAAAGGAGGGGAAGAAGGAGGGGGAGGAAAGGGGGGAATGGGAGGGGAAAAGAGAAGGAAAAAGGGGGAAGGGAAAGAAAGAGGGGAAGGAGAGGGAAAACAGTAAAATAGGGAAAGGGGGAAAAGGGGGAAAGGGGAGAAAAAGGGAGAAGGGGAAAGGGAGGAATGGGGAGGAAGAAGAAAGGGGGGAAAAGGGAAAAACGGGGAAAAGGGGGGGAAAGAGGGAAAGGAGAAGAGGGAAATGGAGGGAAAGAAAGAAGGAAAAAAAGGGGGGAGAGCTGGGGAAGAAGGAAAAAAGGAGGGAAAGGGGGAGGAAAAAAGGGGAAAAAACTATGGGAGAAAAAAAAAGAAAAAAGAAGGAAAAAAAAAGAAAAAAGAAGGAAAAAAAGGGTGCAAATTTCCATGAGTTCAGGAGATCAGAGAGAGGAGCTGTTCCTGATAAAAAACAGGGAGAAAGCCTCCTTTGGATGGGAGAGATCCAGAACCTCGGGCAAGCTGCTCCCACATTTATTCGAGAATGAGATTTTAAAAATAAAAATTTTAAACCATTAAATTTTAATTAATTAAATTAAAAAAAATAGTTTTTAATGAAAAAAATTTAAAAATATATTTTAAAAATAAATTATTTTAATTAAAATATGTATTTATATGTATATGTATATGTATGTTTATATGTATATTTATATTTATATTTATATTTATATTTATATTTATATTTATATGTATGCTTATATGTATATTTATATTTATATTTTTATGCATATTTATATGCATATATATGTATATGTATATTTATATTTATATTTTTATATTTATATGCATATATATGTATATGTATGTTTATATGTATGTTTATATGTATGTTTATATGTATATGTATATTTATATTTATATTTATATGCATGTGTATGTTTATATGCATATTTATATGTATATTTGTATTTATATTTATATTTGTATCTATATGCATGTGTATATGTATGTGTATATTTATGTTTATGTTTATTTTATATGTATATTTATGTTTATGTTTATTTTATATGTATATTTGTATTTGTATTTATATTTATATGTATGTGTATATGTATATGTATATTTATTTTAAAAAATATTTAAAATTATCTTCATTCCAGCTCAGTGAATCCTTTCAGTCCCTGTTTTTCAGCAGGCAGGGAAGGGCCTGGAGCAGATCCCTGCCTCTGGAGCCGGGAATTCCTCACCTGTCCTCCTTGATCCTGGCCAGCAGAGGCTCCAGCCAGCCCAGGGTGCACTCGCAGTGGGCATCCAGGAATGTGATCACCTGGCCCCGGGAAGCCGCTGCCCCTCGGAGCCGCGCCCGGATCAGCCCCGAGCGCTGCTCCATCCGCAGGATTGTGACGGGCACTTCCAGCTTTTTCACGTAATTCTCCAAGGACGCCTTCAAGAACTCTGCCAGGTTTGGGGGGAGACAAAGGCCAGCGGGATTTTTAGGGAGGTTTCATTCCAAGGTGCACACGGAACCGCCTGGAGCATCCCAAGGGGGTGGGAATGAGCTGGGCTTTGAGGGCCCTTCCAAAACCATTCCCTGAGGCCAGGATCATATCTCGGGAGTTTTAAATAAAGCACAATCACTTCCTTGGGATTAACCAGCAACCACAAAACAAAGACAATTTGCTGCTGGTTGAATCCAAAAATAAAATGGCTTTTTTTGGGATGGGTTTCCCCATCGGAGCTCTTTGCATGCTTTTAGAAAAAACGGGAATTACTTGGCTCAAATCCTCCTCCACCCTTCTGGCACAGGGAATCATTAATGAGCAGGGAGATCCAGGCAGTAATTAGGGTTCAATTAATGCTCCATGGGGCAGAACTGAAGGATGGAGCAGCTGCAAGGCTGAGTTTGCCATTGGGCTGTTCCAGGATCCTTTCTCATTCCAATGATTCCATTTAAGGGACTTGACGGGATTCCTTTTCCAGGGAGTCCCAGTTCCACAGGCAGATTTTGCTGTTTAAAGTCTGGGGTTACAGCAGAAATGAAAAGGCAAAAAAAAAAGTGAAGGGTGAAGGAAACAAGGCACAAAGAGCAGCAATGAAGGCAGAGCTGGAATGAGATGGTCCCTTCCAGCCCAAAGCACTCTGGAATTCCATGGGATTGACTTAATGGGGATATTGAGGAACACCTGAAACATGGGATGAGGAGGGTGGAGAGCCATGAAGGAAAGGATTGACCTTTCCAGGAACACCAACTGCACCGAGCTGGATCTGATCCAGGGCCTGAAGGGGCTCCAGGAGAGCTGGGAATGTTCCCCTGGAGAAGGGAAGGATCCAGGGAGAGCTGGGAATGTTCCCCTGGAGAAGGGAAGGATCCAGGGAGAGCCGGGAATGTTCCCCTGGAGAAGGGAAGGATCCAGGGAGAGCTCAGAGCCCCTTGCAGGGCCTGAAGGGGCTCCAGGAGAGCTGGGAATGTTCCCCTGGAGAAGGGAAGGATCCAGGGAGAGCTGGGAATGTTCCCCTGGAGAAGGGAAGGATCCAGGGAGAGCTGGGAATGTTCCCCTGGAGAAGGGAAGGATCCAGGGAGAGCTGGGAATGTTCCCCTGGAGAAGGGAAGGATCCAGGGAGAGCTCAGAGCCCCTTGCAGGGCCTGAAGGGGCTCCAGGAGAGCTGGAGAGGGACTGGGGACAAGGGATGGAGGGACAGGACCCAGGGAATGGCTCCCAGTGCCAGAGGGCAGCGATGGATGGGAGATTGGGAATTGGGAATTCCTGTCTGGGAGGGTGGGGAGGGACTGGGCTGGAATTCCCAGAGGAGCTGTGGCTGTCCCTGGATCCCTGGAAGTGCCCAAGGCCGGGCTGGACGCGGGGACAGTGGGAGCTGCCTCAGGTGCCCTTTAAAGCTCTCCTCCAAGCCAAACCATCCTGGCCATTCCAAAGTCATTCCATGACTTCCTCCCCCCTCTCCCCACTCCCAGCCCTCCCCTCTGGAAGGAGGGGACGGGAATGTGGGACGGGAGCGGGCGGCCCTGCCCCACCTCTCTCGCTGGCATCATCCACCAGGACGATCTCGGCCAGCAGGCGCGGCGGGGAGCGCTCCAGGACGCTGTGGATGGTGCGGAGCAGCGTGCTCCAGGCCTCGTTGTGGAACACGATCACCACGCTGGTGTTGGGCAGCTCCTCCGGGTACACCTTGCTCTTGCACCTGCCCGAAAACAGCCGGAAAACAGCCGGAAAACGGAGCTGGAGGAGCGGCCCGAAGGAGAGCTGCGTCTTTCCGGGATGGATGAAGGGGCTCGGAAGGAACCGCGGCGCTGCGGCCGCGTCCAGGGATGGTGGGGATGATGAGCCCAGGGGGAAAAGGGGAGATCCAGAGCCTGGAATTCCAACGGCTCTGAGGCAGGATGGAAAAGGGGCCATGGCACTGTTCCAACGGGGAGGTTCCACATCCAGGGAGTTGAGGATGATGGGGATGGATTAAGCCAGAGATTGGAATTCCAAGGGCTCCGAGGATGTGGCAGCCTGGAAAAGAGGCCTGGCAGCAGCCATGGCACTGCTCCAAGGGGAACCTGCCACATCCAGGTGGTTCCAAGGAATAAATGAGGGGAAAACCGGAGATCCAGAGCCTGGAATTCCAAGGGCTCTGAGCATGAGACAGGCTGCAGAAGGGGCTCCTCTCCCTCTCCCATTCCTGACCTTCCCAGCAAGGACCCGGCTCAACCCCACGGATCCGACGTCAGCCCCGCGTTGTTCAATCAGAAATTCCAGGGACAGCCATTCCCAGGGGGATTTGGCTCCAGGGAGGTCTGGAGCACACAGGGAACGGCCTGGGATGAGCTGCCAAGGAGCAGCAGAGCTGATCCAGGACTGATCCACCTGCAATGTTTAAATCCCGCCTGTTTTCCCAAAGTTCCCACACAAGGGTCAAACCCTGCCAGTTTAAACCATTCCATTGTTCGGGGTGTTTATGGGAAAAGCGGGAATGTGGGGCACCTCCATGAAAAATGGGAATTTGCCATGGGTTTTTCAAAGTTAATCCATCAAAAGCCTTCAAATCCCCCTCCCAATCCCCATTTCCAGAGGTCCGTGGGAAAAGAGGGATCCCAGATTTCCTGCAGATTCTCTGGGAGAAGATATCACGGGAAGGAGGTGAGGGCCCTTCCAAGGCAGGATGAAAACTCATCCTTGGAAAAAAAAAAATCCCTGCAAAATAACCCTGGAGTTTATCTGGGCTTTTATCCACACTGCTCCAGCACTTCCTGCAATTCCAAGCCCCTTGAAACCAGGAATAAAGGAAATAAAAAAAATCCCCTTTGGAACAATTTTCCTGAAATAAAATCTGTTTTCTCCCCCATCCAGGGATGTCTTGGGGGCCCCTCTGAGGCTGCCAGGGAGGAAAATCTGTTTTCCATGATTTTCACACTAATTAAGGAGCTGACAGCTCCTCTTTTCCAATTATATCTCCCGATCCAAACGGCTGCTCCGAAGGCAGCTGCAGCCCACGTGGAAAACATGGAAGGGAGAGCAAGGATTGTGCTTCTGGAAGGGAAATTTTCAGATATTCTCGGAATAAAGGAGAACTTCAACCATCCAAGTGTGTCCATGTCCATGAAAAGCGTTCCAGTCCGTACGGATATTCCATGGAGTGACAGGAATGCTGGCATTGCCATCACTCGTCCATGGAATCGGAGAATCCCAGGATGGGTTGGGATGGAAGGGACCTTAAATCCCATCCCAGCCCTGCCATGGGCCCCTCCCACTGTCCCAGGCTGCTCCAACCTGGCCTTGGACATTCCAGAGATCCAGGGGCAGCCTCAGTTTTCCTGGGAAAGCTGTGCCGGGATCTCCCCACCCTCTGAGGAAGGAATTTTTTATCCACCACGACTTAGAGCTGGAAAAACCCCAGGTCCAAGAGGTCCTGGTGCAGAACAAATGGATCAGGTGTGGCCACCCCAAAATAAACCAATTTTCTCTCCCCTGAGGGCTGAATTTCAGGAATAACAAATTTTGGTCTCGCCTAAAAATCCAGTCAAGAGTTCCTGCCCTGACACGCGGATCTGAGGGAAGGATTTTCCCAATTAAAGGGAGTTTTCCCACAGATCCACAGCCAGCCCTGCACTGCTCCTTTCCCCCAGCCAGGATCACATCCCAGTGTTTTTTTCTTTGGGGAATCACAAAACTCCAGCTCCTCGTTTAACCCTGGCTGCTGTTCCAGAAATCCCAATGTTTCTGCTCAGCCCAGGATGTTCCCACAACCAGGAGCCAATTCCAGCCTCAACCTCCAGGAAAAAATCCAATTAGGATGCTCCAGCAATCCGTGGAATGGCACTTGGAGCCTCGCTCATCCAGAAAAGATTGAGGATGGATTTCTGCCCTCGCTGGAGAAAATCCTTAGGAATTAAACGAGGCCTTTCCCTGGTGAGTTAAGATGGGTTTAAGGTTTAATCAATAGCTCCCAATTAGAGCTGGCTCTGATTAAAATCTCCAGCCTGGCCATTTCCAGCAGGACCCCAGAAATCCAGGGACATTCCCTGAGAGAAAACTCGGGATGGAACGGGAAGCAAATGAAATTCCATGAATCAGCTGGAATGAAACCATCAGTCCCGGGGCAGGGAGAGCAGGGGAGCCAGCAACGGGATGGGGAATTTGTGGGAACCTGATGAGGAATCCCATTCCCACAGAATCCCATTGACTCTGGAGCCCGGCTGGGAGAGCTGGGAATGTTCCCCTGGAGAAGGGAAGGATCCAGGGAGAGCTGGGAATGTTCCCCTGGAGAAGGGAAGGATCCAGGGAGAGCTGGGAATGTTCCCCTGGAGAAGGGAAGGATCCAGGGAGAGCTGGGAATGTTCCCCTGGAGAAGGGAAGGATCCAGGGAGAGCTGGGAATGTTCCCCTGGAGAAGGGAAGGATCCAGGGAGAGCTGGGAATGTTCCCCTGGAGAAGGGAAGGATCCAGGGAGAGCTGGGAATGTTCCCCTGGAGAAGGGAAGGATCCAGGGAGAGCTGGGAATGTTCCCCTGGAGAAGGGAAGGATCCAGGGAGAGCTGGGAATGTTCCCCTGGAGAAGGGAAGGATCCAGGGAGAGCTGGGAATGTTCCCCTGGAGAAGGGAAGGATCCAGGGAGAGCTGGGAATGTTCACCTGGAGAAGGGAAGGATCCAGGGAGAGCTGGGAATGTTCCCCTGGAGAAGGGAAGGATCCAGGGAGAGCTGGGAATGTTCCCCTGGAGAAGGGAAGGATCCAGGGAGAGCTGGGAATGTTCCCCTGGAGAAGGGAAGGATCCAGGGAGAGCTCAGAGCCCCTTGCAGGGCCTGAAGGGGCTCCAGGAGAGCTGGAGAGGGACTGGGGACAAGGGATGGAGGGACAGGAGCCAGGGAATGGCTCCCAGTGCCAGAGGGCAGCGATGGATGGGGGATTGGGAATTGGGAATTCCCAGAGCAGCTGTGGCTGCCCCTGGATCCCTGGCAGTGCCCAAGGCCAGGCTGGAACACCCTGGGATGGTGGGAGGGGTCCCTGCCATCGCAGGGCTGGGATGGATGAGCTTTTAACTCCCAGCCCATCCCAATTCCCAGCACTCCCGGGATGGGATTTAAGCTCCCGGCCCATCCCAATCCGCAGATTCCCGGGATCTCACCCGTCCAGCCGCACGTCGGGCAGGCTGCGGTTCAGGGCGATGCGGTCGCTGGCCAGGAGGTTGAACTGGTTGATCTTGAACAGCTCCTTCATCTTCTCCTGCTCCTCCTTGGGAATGAGCACGGCCCTGCCCATCTCCCCCGGGCCCTCCTGGCTCCGGGAAATAACGGCTGGAAAACGGAACAGCAGGAGCTGCTTTGAGCACCTGGGAATTGGATTTATCCTTCAGGAAACTTCTGCTTTTCCACAAGGAATGCTGGAAATCCAACCCCCGTTTTCCCTGCTCCGCTGGGAGCTTTTATCCCCCTCTGGATCCAAGAACATCCAGTTTTATTCCAAGATGATCGAACCCCCTGGATTTGGTCCTTCCCGCTATCCCAGGCTGCTCCAAGCCCTGTCCAAGCCGGCCTTGGCCACTTCCGTGGATCCAGGGCAGCCACAGCTTCTCTGGACACCCTCACAGAGAATTCCCTGGATCCCTGGAATGCCCCGGGCCAGGCTGGACAGGGCTTGGAGCCCCCTGGGATAGCGGGAGCTTTCCCTGCCCATGGAATGGGATTTACGCTCCCTTCCAACCCCAACCATTCCCCAAACCGCAAACACAAACTCGGACAACGCCGACACCAACAGATCCCGGGATTTCCTCTGCTGGGCAGAGCCTCGGACGGGAGGCCAGGGCTGAGGAATCCCGGGCTGGGCGCTCACCGCGCAGCGCCGGGAGCAGGGAGCGCTCCTTGGGCCGGTCGCACTTGTTGCACTCGCTGAAGTAGAGCAGCAAGAAGACGTCCAGCAGCACCCAGAGCAGGGACGTGGCCAGCACCACCCGGCAGTAGCCAAACCTCCTCATGGCTCCGGGGAGCGCGGCGGGATCACAGTCCCACGGCACGGATCCAGCGGGGACGCAGGGAGGAGCATCCCGCTGCGGGCACAGGAAAAGCGGATTTTTCATGGATTCGGGGGTGTTCGTCCTTCTATCGGGAGTTGTTTGACACCGAAACATCCGCTCTCCTCAGGGAACCGTTTCCATTTTCCAATTTCTCCAGTTTTTGTCCTGCCAAAATGTTTCGGGCTCCACCTCATGACTGCCAAAGATTCCTTGGAAAAGGGCACGGCAGTCACTGATCCATGGATTTGGGCTCCTGCCCCAATTAGGGAGTTTGGAAAACAAAGCTAAAGGTGAGGCCTCTCCAAAGGGTGGAGCCCTGCTGGGAGAGCTGGGAATGCTCCCCTGGAGAAGGGAAGGATCCAGGGAGAGCTGGGAATGTTCCCCTGGAGAAGGGAAGGATCCAGGGAGAGCTGGGAATGATCCCCTGGAGAAGGGAAGGATCCAGGGAGAGCTGGGAATGTTCCCCTGGAGAAGGGAAGGATCCAGGGAGAGCTCAGAGCCCCTTGCAGGGCCTGAAGGGGCTCCAGGAGAGCTGGAGAGGGACTGGGGACAAGGGATGGAGGGACAGGAGCCAGGGAATGGCTCCCAGTGCCAGAGGGCAGCGATGGATGGGAGATTGGGAATTGGGAATTCCCAGAGCAGCTGTGGCTGCCCCTGGATCCCTGGCAGTGCCCAAGGCCAGGCTGGATTTGGGATTTGGAGCAGCCTGGGATGGTGGGAGGTGTCCCTGCTGGACTGGGATGGGATTTAAGGTCCCTTCCCACCCAAACCATTCCTTGATCTCCAGCCTGGCTGTGATCTGTAATTAGAGGTCTGTAATTAACGAATTAACGCCTCCCACTCACCATCAGCACCTGCATTCCAGACTCCAAGTCCTGCTCCAGCCATGCTCCCACAGAATTCCCCCAGCACTGAACCGCCGGATAATTTTCCAAGTGCCTGGAAAAGAAAAGGAGAAGGAAGTCCCATCACTTTTCCGTGTTTCCTAAAACATAAAAAAATTCCTTCCAATTTAAAATCCCTCCTCGGTTTTATCCACATTTCAATTTCCTTATCCTCCCCTGCTCAGCTCCTCATTCCCAGGTGGGATCTTTCCATTTTCCATCCCGTTTTAATTGGTGTTCACCTGAGCCAAGGGGGTGGAAGAGCTGGAAGGATGGAAATCAATCCAATAAATGATTTATTTAATTATTCTGGCAGCATTTCTGCACCAGCTCCTCGTTAATAACAATTTCCATCTGTCCTAAATATCAACCAATGGCTCTTCCTGCTGAGGGATTCCCAGGGAGCTGATTTAAAATTCCAGGAATTGCTGGTCCGGGATAACACATTCCATTTGCACGGGAATGCGCAAACGGGAATGGTTTCATTGTAGGGAAAAGAAATGAGGAAGGAAAAAACAGATTTCCCAGCAAAACTGTGGATGCTCCATCCCGGGAAGTGCCCAAGGTCGGAAGGGCTTGGGAAGGATTCCCTGGGAATATGGGATGAGATTTAAGGTCACTTCCACCCCAAAGCATCCCAGGATCCTGTGATTCCATAAAATCCCCTCCTCCAAACCTCCAAAAGGAAGAAGCTTCCAAAAAACAAAAATAAGATTTAATTGAAACTCAGCCTCACAAGGTTTGCAGGAAGAGGAGGAAGGGAAAAATCCCGAGGTTCTGAGCTCCCACTTCCTGGAATAAAGCCAATTTTACCCCATGATCCTGCAGCAAAGCACAGGGAAATTCCTGCCCCAAACCCTGCAGGAAAAGCAGGATTTGGGAACAGGAAACAGGAGGAAAAACGAGGAATCCTAGAAGTGACCCCACCCAATGCTGTGGGCGAGAATTCCGGAGGCTGCGAATCCAAGGGAACAACAATTCCAGACTCCAATCCTTGATTTGCCTTTTCCCTGGATTAAAAATTCCGAGTTTTCTGCGGATAGAAACCGATTGTTCAGGAATTCTTCCTGGAACCCCCCAGCCCCTGGGTCTCCCCACAGCCAGGCCATGCCCTGAGCTGAATCTCTTGGGTCTCAAAGGCTCAGAATCCATCACCGCTCCCCAAAAACCTCTTCATTCCCGTTCCCAAGATCCCTGCAAGGGAAATAAAACATGGATACGGCAAAATTCCCAACTCTTGAGCTGTATTTGCCCACCAGGGCTGGGAATTTCATTCCTTAGTGAAATTTGGGATAATTTCGGGCTTTTTTCTGGGCTGAAAATGTGGAAACTGCAGCAGCACAGGGTGGGGGTGGGAAATTGAGGTGATTTCAGAAGAAACTCAGCGGAATTTTGGGGAATCACGGAATTCAAGACTGGTTTGGGTGGGAAGGGACATGAAGGATTATCCCATTCCACCCCTAGGGACAGCTCCCACCATCCCAGATTGCTCCAGCCTGGCCTGGGGCACTGCCAGGGATCCAGGGGCAGCCACAGCTGCTCTGGGAATTCCAGCCCAGCCCCTCCCCACCCTCCCAGCCAGGAATTCCCAATTCCCAATATCCCATCCATCGCTGCCCTCTGGCACTGGGAGCCATTCCCTGTGTCCTGTCCCTCCATCCCTTGTCCCCAGTCCCTCTCCAGCTCTCCTGGAGCCCCTTCAGGCCCTGCAAGGGGCTCTGAGCTCTCCCTGGATCCTTCCCTTCTCCAGGGGAACATTCCCAGCTCTCCCAGCCTTCCTGGCCTCATTCCAGGAGGTCAAAGCCCTTCATTCCCAAACGGGCACTTCCTGGAAATCCGGCTCAGCAGAGCCCTGAGCTGCTCCTTTAATCCTCCGTCCCTCCTCGGGCTCGTGACGGATGAAGTGTCCTAATCCTCATCAGGACAGGAATAACCCGGGGATGGAAATTCCCAAAGAAAATCCCCAAAAACCCCGGAGGAATTGTCCAGTTTCTCACCTGGCTCTTTGACTGATTCAGGAAAGCTGGAATTCCCGAGTCCATCCCGGGCACGCGATTCCCAATCCCTAATTAACCCCAGGATTACTCCGACCTCGGTGTGACCTCAGACTCCAGCTTCTCCTGGCCACCCGCGTTCCCGGGAATACCAAACCCTGCCCACATCCCGCTGCTGGGGTAAGGAAGGCTCCAAAATCCACATTATTTCCGGGGAAGCGTTGTTCCCGACCTAAATATTCCCATTTTTATGGAATGGAGCCCCAGCCAGGCTGCCCGGTTTGTCCAGGATGGGGAGCCCAGCTTCGGGATCGCTCCAAGGATTTGTTTTCCCTGCTCCAAGGGGTTCCCAGGGAGCATCCAGGAATCCATTCCCACAGCGAGGGAACTTCCCGTGCCCTGGTCACAGCAGAAGGACGGAGGGAGAGGAATAAAACCATCCCAAAATCCACGCTGGCTCTCCCAGGGGATCAGAGCTCAGCCATGGAAACGGAATCCAAAATATTCCCGGGAATCTGTGGCCCTTTGTGCTGCTGCTCCGACCGAACGGAGAGCCAAACCTCTCCCAGCCGTCCCCAGTTCCTGGGAACAACTCCCGCTCCTCTTCCCGACATCCCTCGGGAAGCACCGAGGGAAAAACTCCCCGAGGAGGGGGTGGCAAAGCGCCTTGGCCGAGTTTTATTTCCATGGAAAACCTTTGGAGCCAGGCACATCCCAGAGACGGGAAATGCATGGAATCACCTCCCGCCCCAGAGCTGAATTCCTGCCTTTCCGTTCGTTTTCCAGGGAATCTCCCGCTTGCCGTGAGAGCCCAAATCCAGCACCTCTCCCACTGAAGGGATTTGGGCTGGAATTGGATCCTTGGGATGGCCTCTGGAATGCCACGGATCCCAGACAGCAGAATTCCAGAGGTTTAGGAGCAGCTCTTCCAGATGGAAATCCCTGCTGGAAAAGCTAAAGCGACCCCCGGCGCTCGGGGATGCTCCTGTCCATGGCAGCGGAATTGGAATTTTTAATGGAATTTTTAAATGGAATTTTTAGGAAATTTGGGGGCAAAACCTCTCCAAGTTTTGAGTTTGAGGAGGGTTCGAGGCTGCCAGGACTGCGAGAAATTCCCAAGCAGGAATGAAACCACTCACAAATCAATTTCTCCACCTAAAAAAGGCAGAATCCTCATGCAGAATTCCCAGCTTCTCCCTCCGAGAGATGAAAGGATTATTCCTCACATCCCAGGATTTACCACCACAAAAAAAGATTTTGGCCAGGAAGAGAAAATTCCCCCTTTTCCCCGTTTAAAACTGGATTTTAGGGCCACCCTGGTCTAAGCAAATCTGGATATAAAATTCTCCCTCCAAAATCCATCCTCTAATTCCATGAGCAGCTCATTAATTCATGGATGAGGAAGAACTTTTAATTCCAGAACTGTCAAACTCCGAGATCCATCCAGGAAAGCTCTTGCACATTTAGTAAGGAATAAAAATAGGGGGAAACAAAAGGAAATAAAAGAAGGGGAATTTGGGTCCCTTTAGTCAGCGTTTTGTCTTTTCAGAATTCCGGTTTTTCTGCCTCTCTCCTGAAATTTATTAATAGCCCCGTTCTTCCCTTGGGAATTCATTCCCGTGACTCAGGAATTCAAGTGGAAAAGCCTCGTTAATTCCTCTCATCCCAGATCCCGGGAGGAAAACCTGTCCTGGCTCACGGGGGGCTTTGTTCAGGCCCCAGCCCCGAAATTCCCGGCTCCAGCCCTGAAATTCCCGGCTCCTCCTCCCCAACTCCATCCTCAGCAGCTCCAGAGCCGCTCAGCCTGGGAATGGTGGGAAATTCGGGAAGAGTTTACCTGGGTTTATTCCCTCCTTTCAAGGCCTGGGGCTGTGCTGGTGCAAAGCGCTGGAATCCTGCGGATAATGCAAATAAAAATTCCTAAAAATCCTCAAAATCTTCCTGGGATAGCACAGAACTGTGGAATGGTTTGGGAAGCGAGGTTAATCCATGGGCAGGGACAGCTCCTGCTATCCCAGGCTGCTCCAAGCCCCATCCAACCCGGCCTCTGACATTTCCAGGGATGGAGCAGCCACAGATCCTC